CGGAAGTGTGCATATTCCAATATAGATTATGCACACAAAAAGAACGGCCCTCTACCTGCATTGCTCCATATGTATGGCTTTTCTGAAGTAAACTTGCTTGGTAGCTCACCTGGTACAGCACTGCGTATGAAACACAAATCATGATAAAACAGTTCAAAGTCTTGTAGAAGCAAGCTAAAATGGCATGGTTCCTTCAGCAAATTTTTTTTTTTTATCTCATGTTTGCTTTTGCTTTTTTCACGTTAACACTATTGGTTAGATTTCATTTAGCAATTCAGCAATTTTTTTTTTTTTATCTCATGTTTGCTTTTGCTTTTGCTTTTTTCACGTTAACACTATTGGTTAGATTTCATTTAGCATAGGTGATATGTTATTTTCAATAGAGCATTAAACTTTGATTTCATTTCTGAACTACCGCAATACAACAACCGCAATACAACAACAAATAACATAACAAAACATGGTCAGAATCACGTCTGAAAACTCACATTTGTTTTTGGATCAAACTGAACACGCTTTTAGCTTCACTCACTGCACATGAAAGTGTCTCAAAACGTGCAAGGGCCAACATTTTGAGGAAATCCTGCCACAGGCACATTTTTCAATGAGACTGGGTAAGCATATTCAGATGTAGCCATTGGTAACTGATTCAGACCATGTGGATTTTTGTCTGTATGTTGTACCAAGTGCTTCTCTGATGTTCTTAAACCATTAGGTGTTCCACTATCTGCTCATGCAGCACCTATCAATGGGGAAGTGCCATTATCATGCAAAGCAGGAGCTAAAATTGAGTGGGAGCTAAGCCTACTCATATCTCTCTTTGCGCTCCCTTTCACTTACTCTCTCTCTCTCTCAAGGTGAAAACTACATAATATGTGTAAATATAGCATAATGTTCTAAGACCCTCATGAACCTCCCATGTAATCTCTCTACGTACAACTCCCTCAGGCTACATACATCACTTCATTTCTCTCACTGCTTCTGTTATACTTCTCAAACATCTTAAAGCTGCCACTGTAAGGGGTAAAGAGACAAACTCCAGTTCATTTAACAGCCCCTTTACAGCTCTATATAACTCACTATGAGGTTCTTTAAGTCGACAATAAGATCAAAAGTCTCTTCCGCTTGGTTTCCTTGCTCTCTATATATTTGAAGTAATGTTGAATGAAACAAAAGTTTGACAGATTTGTTTATTCAAAGCTTTTAACAGTCAAAATTGTTAGCAAAGAAGCTTAATATGGCGATAAGTCTAAACTAGCAGTGAGCAAAGAGTGGTAGGTTGATAAAAGCTCAAATGAGAAATCCACTCAAAAGTACGCAGCCTGTCGCCTCACCTCACCTGATAACTTGGAAGGTTGACGGCATTATAATTTCCGCTCAGGTTTTCCTTGCCATCGGTATGCAATCCAGTTTTGGCTGTGTACCTGAACTGACCCAGTCAAATCTTGAAAAACAGAGTTTTCAAACTAGACTTCAGTATTGGGAACGTGTCTGATTTCTGTATGTTGGCAGGGTGGCCGTACCATAACTGGGGAGTTCTGTAACAAAATGGTTTTCCAGCAGCAGATGTACTTGGAATTGATAAGAGGTTTGCTTCCCTGTGATTGGAGGAGCCGCGGGAGGCAGTCTGGTGTTTGCAGTGATAGCAGAGACTCTAGTCTAGCAGCAGTATGAACTAGTTGTAGCCAATATATAAGGATTCAGAAACCATTCGGCCAGCACAGTATTATAGTAATCTAGTCAAACGTTTATTGCGCATAATAGTTTCTCAATGTCATGCTCTACATCCGCAATGCTCCTCAAAAGTAATATTAGCAATATTCCTGCAGAACAGCACATTTTTGACCTCCCAGGAGGAAGTCATCTATTTTAAGTCTAAATAATCCAGTGCTAGAAAATATCTTTACATCCTCTCAGCTAAATAAAAACATGTCCTGGTCTTTTGTCATGGGAAAAAAAAAAAATTAATATCTAAATATTTTATATAAGGAAACCTAATATAAAGCATTGAAAGTAAATTTTTGATTGTATTGTGACTTTTTTTTTATCAGCATAGATTAAAGGGAGGACATGTATAAAACAATTTTCCTTACAACACACACACACACACACAAATATATACTGTAAAGAAAATTTTATATATACTGTAAGTATATTATATTATTATATATGTATGTATGTGTGTGTGTGTGTTGTAAGGAAAATTGTTTTGTACATGTACTCCCTTTAATCTATGCTGATAAAAAAAGCACACACACACACACACACACATACACACAAATATATACTGTAAAGAAAATTATATATATATATATGTATGTATGTGTTTGTGTGTGTGTGTGTGTGTGTGTGTGTGTGTGTAAATGCACTTGATACTCAACCACAAAACCAGTCACAAAAGTCAATTTTTTGAAATTGAGATTTATACAACAATTGAAAGCTGAATAAATAAGCTTTCAATTGATGTATGGTTTGTTAGGATATGACAATATTTGACCGAAATACAACTTTTTGAAAATCTGGAATCTGAGGGTGCAAAAAAATCGAAATATTGAGAAAATCGCCTTTAAAGTTGTCCAAATGAAGTTCTTAGCAATGCATATTACTAATCAAAAATTATATTTACAGTAGGAAATTTACAAACTATATGAATAGAACATGATCTTTACTTAATATCCTAATGATGTTTGGCATAAAAAAAAATCAATAATCGTTGGATATTGCTATACCCATGCTACTTATGACTGGTTTTTGCTCCAGGGTTACAAATGTCACAGTGCACAAAATATGAATGGTCTTTTTCTTTATGCAGAATATGTCTTGTTTCTGTCTTTTGGGAAGAATTATCACTTAGACATATTGGTTTTATGAATGGTTTTCAGCTCCTTTAGTTTGATTTACTACCACTTGCACTATGTGAGAGTTCGCCTCAGTTCAAGGGCACATACATAGTATAGATTTAAGGGCTGAATATTTTATATGTGAGGCTGTATGTAATTGCTGAGAAAGACTCAGTCAAACACAGGCTGATGGAGGAGGGTCATTCCTTGCTTGATATGTGCTAAGCAGACACATTAGAGGTTTGACACTGTTAATCTGATTTAGTGTGAGTATGACCGATTACCTCACATGCTGATTTTAATGGTTATTTTTCCCCATTTGTGTGACAATAACAAATGCCCTTTTCAGAAATATGCCAGAGAATGTCAGTTTCCCTTGCAGTGTGTGTTTGGACGCTAATTTGAAACTGTAGTTTTTCATAAACTATACAACCAACCTTCCCTTTTTAAAAAGTAGTCAGCTACATTAAGCTACTAATAAAAAGCAACTACGATGCTGTTTAAGGGGACAAAATCCAAATCCATACTTTTTTCCCCCAATCAGAGCAGTAGTTACCTTGCACAAAAACAATGTACACTTAATGTGATAAATAAAACCAGAAAACTACATTGAAACCAAAATCATGGAGATAAAATTGAGAGTTTCTGCACTGGGGCTCAGTTGAATCAGCTTATTTGAACAGGTTCATTTACATGGACCATCCAACGATCTGAACTGAAACATTTTTTCATGCTAAACCAATACTCGTTGCAAAAAAAAAAAAGAAGAAGAAGAAGAAAAGAAGGAGATAAAGCTACACTAGCTAAAAAAAGAAAAAGGAGACTATTACTATTACTTACTAGGAGACTAAAAGCTACACTATTATGAAAATAGCTGAACTATTGTCAGATTTAAGAAAAAAATGTATCAATTAAATGAAGAATTCACCCCAAAATTAAAATGAGCTGAAAATGCACTCACCCTCAGGCCATCCAAGATGTAAATGAGTTTGTTTCTTCATCTGAACTGATTTGGGGAAAATTATCACTTACAATGCATCACTTGCTCACCAATGGTTCCTCTGCAGTGAATGGGTGCCGTCAGAATGAGAGTCCAAACAGCTGATAGAAACATCACAATAATCCACACCCCTCCAGTCCATCAGTTAATGTCTTGTGAAGTGAAAAGCTGTTTGTTAGAAACAAATCCATCATTAATCCTTTGTAACTTCAAACTGTTGCTTCTGGCTAAAATATGAGTCCTCTACCCATAATATTGCTTTCTCCAGTGAAAAAGTTGTCTTGTCTGAATCAGGAGAGAAATATACACAGATCATGCACTGTTAACAAGAGAGAACAGTCCAAAACAGTTCTAGATGATATGTTGGTGGATTTTGATGTGAGAGGACAACAGGGGATGGTCTTTTTTACTGGACTCGAGGAAGCATTATTGTGGATTATGAACTTGTATTTTGGCTTAAATTGAAAACTCCTTAATGATGGATTCGTATTTATTACAAACACATAGATTTTTGCTTCACAAGATGTTAACTAATGGACTTGTGGATTATTATAATGTTTTTATCAGCTGTTTGAACTGATGGCACCCATTCACTGAAGATTCACTTTTCTTTTTTATAAATCCTTTTCTCTTTTATAAACTTCCATTTTTTGTTTGTTCAGCATTTGCTTCGGTAGAAAGTAAATCCCAAATGCTTGTCTCTTTCGATGCCTTTATTCTTGTATTTGCAGATTGCATCTCTAAACTGATCCCCTAATATCTTCTCCAACATCTTGGAAAATGATGCATTAACTCCTCCAGCTAATTGCCTCAGAGAGGTTTTAATTCAGAAGTGATTGTATTTGCTCTGTTTGTTTTTGACATGCACCAGTGAACAATAGCAAAGCAGGGGGAGGTGAGGAGAGAGACAGCTGATGAATGAGAAACGAGAACAAATGTGTTTTGTATGAGAGCAAGGCCATGATCATCGCAGCTGCATGTGTGGAAGCTCTCAACAATCAGACTCATGAGGCCTTCATCCCACTGCCATCATTTCTTTGACTTTACCCAGGGACAGCGCACAAACAGACGAATAAACAAAGCAGCCTGTGAAGCCAGATGCTTCAGTGAGAAGATTTTCACTTACTGTTGACTAAATTGTTGTTCTTTCTGTAATTCAGCTGGACCGCACTGAGGTGATCAAGAGTAACCTGAATCCGGTCTTTGCCAAAGTCTTAATGCTGGACTACTACTTTGAGGAAGTACAGAAACTACGCTTTGAAGTCTACGACATTCACGGAACCCACAGTATTGGGACGCGAGACGACGACTTCCTGGGTGGGGTGGAGTGCACGCTTGGACAGGTGATGGCACTTTTCCTCTGCATTTTATTTAATAATACACTATGTGGTCTAAAATGTGGTTGCTCTCCTAATTAATAGCCATCTGGCAAAAAAAAAAAAAAAGCATAAATAATAATTTAAAAAACAATTAAAAAATAAATATATTATGTACGCTAAATATATGTTGTAAACAAGGAAATTCAATTAAATATGTGTGTGTGTTTGTGTACACACATATTGTAACCTTCATATACCAATATACGTATATTTCAAAATGTATTTCAGGACAAGAAAATGCATTTCCAATCGTACATTAGCCTTCATTTAGTTTAAATGCAAATGTGGATGGAATAGCTTACTAGAGATCAAAACTAGATTTATAATGATTTAATAATGTTGATTTTTTTTCATATATGTGACCCTGGACCACAAAACCAGTCATAAGGGTCAATTTCTCGAAATTGAGATTTATGCATCATCTGAATAAATAAGCTTTCCATTGATGTATGGTTTGTTAGGATAGGACAATATTTGACTGGGATTCAACGATTTGAAAATCTGGAATCTGAGGGTGCAAAAAAAATCAAAATATTGAGAAAATCGCCTTTAAAGTTGTCCAAATGAAGTTCTTAGCAATGCATATTACTAAACAAAGATTAAGTTTAAATATATTTACAGTAGGGAATTTACAAAATATCTTCATGTAACATGATCTGTACTTAATATCCTAATGATTTTTGGCATAAAAGAAAAATCTATAATTTTGACCCATACAATGTTTTTTTTGACTATTGCTACAAATATACCCCAGCGACTGAAGACTGGTTTTGTGCTCCAGGGTCACATATTGTAGCATAGTATTTTTTATTTTTTGGGGAAATTGTAAAGTATGTTCATTGCTGATTTTTATTAAAATATGTTATATGTTCACATTTTTTATAGACAACATTTTTTCAAAGATTGTTGATTGTTCAATCAACAATCTTTTTTAAAACTATTTTTTTTTCTCAGATGTGACGTATGTAAATGTATTTAAAAACATTTTTATTTTTAGAATATATTTTGATAAATATAAATGATGGCCTAAAGATATTTCGGTAGTGAATATGTTTACATAAATATATTTAAGCAAATATAGCTATATTTTGGCCTTTTATTTTGCTTATTTTGAAACATATTTGAGAATAGCTGGATATATTTTGCTGTATGGACAGGTTTGGATATTTAATTTAAGCCTCACTGATGTTCATGACTGAATGGAAGCAATATGTTCATTGCTGATTTTTATTAAAATGTGTTATATGTTCACATTTTTTATAGACAACATTTTTTCAAAGATTGTTGATTGTTCAATCAACAATCTTTTTTAAAACTATTTTTTTTCTCAGATGTGACGTATGTAAATGTATTTAAAAACATTTTTATTTTTAGAATATATTTTGATAAATATAAATGATGGCCTAAAGATATTTCGGTAGTGAATATGTTTACATAAATATATTTAAGCAAATATAGCTATATTTTGGCCTTTTATTTTGCTTATTTTGAAACATATTTGAGAATAGCTGGATATATTTTGCTGTATGGACAGGTTTGGATATTTAATTTAAGCCTCACTGATGTTCATGACTGAATGGAAGCAAATCCCTTCATCTATGTTCCAACATCTAATGGAAACCATATACTGTGCTATTTTCAAGAAACTATTATTGTTTTTAGATATTATTTCCTTTAAACATATTAATTTGCTCCATAGATAGTGGCCCAAAAAAAGATGGTGAAACCTCTGTTGCTGAAATATGGAAAATATGCTGGAAAATCCACTATCACAGTGAGTTGAAAAAAACAAAACTACACACATAATCCATATTTAATTGCTGCTGTACACATTTACACATTCACTGAAAGCTCTCGTGGTAGAAGTTTCATCTGGCTTCACTTGATTTACTGGAGACATACTCCTAGATAGTCAGATGAGGATGAAGCTGTACTTTTGCAAAATGAAAGCAGACACTGTTTGCCACGCCAACTCATCCTTCGACAATAACCACTGTTGAGCAGAAATTTCCTTAAGAATCACTGTGTTCAATTAGACAAAATCTAATTTTGGTATTGCGTGTATAAAGAACCATTGCAAAAACAACAACTATAAAGGTAGCTATAAAAATAACTGTATAAACAATGCTATCTCATGGCCGATTCGTACGTATTTTACAAGGTAGCTAATTTGTACGACCTCACTCGTATGATTTTCTATGATTTGTCTAGACCCCAGTGACGGGTAGGTTTAGGGGCGGGGTTAGGTGTACTGTAGGTCAATCGTACGAATTAATACGAATTGTGCATCTTGTAAAATATGTATGATTCAGCAAAAATGTTATGAATTTGTACAAGTGAGGTCATACAAATTTGTACGAATTAGCCACCTTGTAAAATAAGTACGAATTGCCGTGAGATTGGGTTGGTGTAAAGGGTCTGTTAATTATCGGCATGCGCTGCAGTTATGTTGTCTGCCTCTTTAAATGCTTGATTGTACAGTTTGTAGTTATTATTAGAGTTATCACGTTATTATTATAGTTATAATGTGAACAGGCCTTAACCACGGCTGGGGTTTTGGCATCTACACCCACCGATTTACAATGCACAGTCTTGCATTATGAGATGTCACTCAAAAGTTATATTCATTCATCTGTAGGACCACCCACTTTTTTTGAAGTGCCAACTAAATGCCAAATCATGCCCATGCCGCTCATCACAAAACTCAGAGGATGACTGCACATTACAAAATGAGTGATTTTTTCCCCTATTACTTCTGGAATGTAATGTCACTTTAAAATATTTCTTGATACAGTTGAGGGAAACCGCTAGTATGTGTGATGCCTGAGAGATAGATAATGTGGAATCTCTATAACGCCGGTGCATTAAAAAGTCATCAGGTTTCAGGAATAAGGTCTAACCCGTGTAAAGGACTTTTAATAAAACTCTGTGTAGTTTGGGTTGCAGTGCAGGTGGTTTGACCTCCAACTTAAATTCTGCTGCTTTCTGGGCTCATATCATATAACACAGTTAAACCTTTCATACTGTAGGTAGACAGACACAGGATATTCTTACAATATTGTAAGGATGGTTTTCCTACGGTGGTTCAGGCTGTAGGATTGCCGAAAAACGAAAGAAACGTTATCAGCACGATGGTATAAAACTGTACATTTCTAGTCTATTACCACCCACTGCCACTTATACCAACGACGGAAATAAGCGCAGTTAGAATAGCTACATATGTGGGAGAGCGTTGCTATTGTGTGACTATTGTATTGCAATAGGTAACACTTTAAGATGAACCTTGAATCAAGACTAGTTAGCACATAATTAATAATTGAAATGGTTTAATAACAATATTTTGTTATGGTTACACTTGAATTGGTTACAAAATAGATGAAGGATGGTAAAGCATAGTTAATTGTACCCAACATGTAAAATATTACCTGAGAGAAAGAGATAGAGAGAGGAAGAAAAAGAGGGAGAGAGGGCAGAGACCCAAGAAGAGAGCCAGCCAAGGAAAGAGACAGAGCAACAGTTACAGTCCTCTTTTATCCCTTCCTTGACCATGTGACTAAAAACCAAATGTGAGACATTCAAACTGACCAATCAGCAGATTATAACTTCACCCACTGGGCAAAAGGTGTGACAATTAGCAGACCCCCGGTGTATACACATGTTGGCCTACAGGCCTTGATCGATATCAGCACCTCTGTGCCTTCAGGAATTCCAAATGGCCCTTTTGTTACTGAAGATAGGTTTGGGACAGGAAAGCAGAAGTCTTTGATAATTTTTGACCTTACAATATCTGCTAACATGGTGTAAAATAATGTAGACTATCAATTTCGGTATGCCAAAATAGTATTTCAGTTACTATATCAGAGCTAGTTCAACTTATTTCAAACAAGCCACACATGCAAACAAAATGTAGATTAAAAACGTGATGCCCCAAGCTATTTTTGCATGTTTCTATTGCATGCAGACGAGGTTAATCCGTAAGACAAAACGTAATACCACATCCTTATCATAGATGTTGATTCTCTGCTTTCTCATCAGTTTTAACAAAGTCTCTCCTGACCACACTGCAAACTAATGGCCTTTTCATGTTGAAACATCCACAGCAGTGACTGTTTTTGCTGAACCCCCCTCTCATTGTATTACAAACTGTTTGTAGATTTTTAATGCTGACGAAATCACATTTTGTTCTGACGTGAGACAAAATGGGATGATTTAACCACTCTTGACAAACAAACCAGTAGAGGTCAAAGACAGCTCCATAAATGGTTCCTTTATTAAGTGTTGTAGTAAGTATATTCCGTGCTAAAACATTTCCAGGAACAGCCATTACAGTTAGTAATTTAGAACATTTGCACTCAAGGATGATCGAGTTGCAGTTTCTCTTCAATTTCTACTTATCTTTTTGAGTTGAATGGATGGACAATGGATGGATGTTTGGAAAGATGGATGGATGGGCAGATGAATGAATGGATGGATGAATGGGATGGTCAAATGGATGAATAGACAGGTGGATGGATTGGCTGGGTTGGGCGGATGGATGAATGGGATGAGTGGATGGATGAAATGCCAGATGGATGGATGAATAGGATAGGTTGGGTGGATGGATTGGATGGGCAGGATTGACACACAGCTGGATAAGGATGGATGGATGCATGGAGGATGGACGGATGGATGAATTGATGGACGGATAGATGGATGGAAGGATGAATGGACATACAGTTGGATGAATGGAATGATAAATGGGTGGATGGATGAATGGATGGATGGATAGACACATGAATGGTGGCTGGATTAACTTGGCCGGACTGACAGATCCATTGGGCTGTATGGGCAGACAGACGGATGTACTGACGTGAATGGATGGATGGATGGGATGTGTAATTGGATGAATGGACAGACAGATGGATGGATGGTTGGACAGACAGATGAATGAATAGATGAATGGGCTGGGTGGATTGATGAATGGATGGCTGGATGGACAGACTGATGAATGGAATGGCTGATAGATGAATGCGTGGACAGGATGGAAGGACAGCTGGATGGATGGACAGACAGATTGATGAATGGAATGATGGACAGATGAATGGATGGACGGATGGATTGGAAGATGGATGAATGGAATGGATGCGGTGTAAATGGAGGCTTGGACAGAAGGATGGATAGGCTTGGTTGGGCAGATGGAGGAATGGGCTGGGTTGATGGATGGATTGACAGATTGATGCGTGTAATAGCAGAGAGATAAATGAATGGACAGGATGGAAGGACAGCTGGATGGATGGATGGACAACTGGACCGGGTGGATGGATGGACAGATGGATGGATGAACAGATGGTTGGATGCTATGGATTGGAAGATGAATGAATAGACAGAGATAGATGGATGGACTGACTAGGATAGATAGATCAATAGACAGACAGACAGACAGACAGACAGAATTCAGTGCCAATGGTTGTGAAATAAACTACTTAAAAAGCAAATATGCATGTGGAATCCTGGTTTCCACATATAGAGTACAAACAATAACAGTATGTTGGCTTTGTCTCAGCTAATCCCTTTTCTTATTTCCCAAGATTCATGCAGAAGAGATTTCTGGGAACAATGGCTATGTCGAGCTTTCCTTCTGTGCCAAGAAGTTAGATGATAAGGTATGGAATGATGTTTTTCTTTTTCCATTAAAAAACAACAACAACAAATAAATAAAACAACAGATTGTCAGGCATGAACTACTCACAAGAGTTTGCACTCAGTGTGTTTTGGTTTTAAAGTATACCTAGTGACAGAAAATGATATTCTTTGTTTGTAAAGTAGTGATTTTTGACCCTTTGCAACCGATAATTGCAGCTGCCAAAGAACCTTTCAACTCGCCTTTAATGTTTTGGCTTCTCAATTTCAGCCCCGTTAAGAGCCATTAGGGCTATTATGGCTTCATAAAATCCCACTCTCATTTTTTGGCTTTGACACAATGTTTGAAACCCTATTCATTCAGCTGAGGTTTCCTAATGAGAATGGAAGCTCTCTGGATAGCGAGGGCTAACAGAGCCGAAGCGCTGAGGGAGCGTAGGGTGGCTGGCTGACTCTCTGTGTGCAAACAGCCTCTCCCACACAGCGCGGCCCACTGCGCAGCTCTCTCTGTGCCCTGTAGTTCTGCAGGTGTCTGCACTTCCCGCTGCGCTGCCGCACAGTACACAAACGCCTCTGCAACCCTCGTCCTACTCTCAGCACTCATCTCATCTGCTTCTCCTACTCTTTCCTCTTGTTTCTCTCTCCCTCTTCCTCTTTCATATGCTGCTGTTCTCTTCCTCTGAGCCTGGGGCGACATTTATGCTCAGCGGTTATCTTCAAAACACAGCTTTTTTGTTCGTTCCCCAGCCCTTTTTATCTGACGTCCATGAATTCAAACATCTCATGTAATGAAGAGAAACAGAAAATCGATAGTCATGACTTGTTCGCTGAAGCTTCACATCCCCTCAACCCCACATTAGGTGGGAAAATCGATATATTGTCTATTCATCTTTTTACAGTGAGACAGAAATGCTATTTGGCATCTGTACCAGAACAGAAAGCGCAGGCTGTGATTATGATTGGAGACGCTCATACAGTGAATCAAAGCACCCACGTAAACCATTGGCTGACTGTGACTTTGCCAACTAGGACGTGTTCCTGGATCAACATCTTTTGCCGGAGCTGGAACAGTGGTACACCTTTGTACCTTACTTACCCCTAAAGGCTGCATTTTAGTACCCTAAAGGTGCACATTTGTACCAAAGTGTACATACCTAAATGGCACATATCAGTAGCCCTAGAGACAGCTTTTGTGCATTTTTTTCTGAGAGCGTGTCAAACTATCTTCCCCTAAAATCAGATGAAAATGATCAGAATGGAAGGTCCCAAACCCTGATAAGAAAGTTTTTGCAGGGTCAAACACGACTAATTCAGGAACTTGTTATACTTGTGGCAACAAACAGCTTGTTACTTGGGCAGGACCACTAAAGGAACATTTTTGTACCTTATTTACCTCAAAAAGCTTCATAGTGGTACATTAAGGGTATTGGGTACCTTATAGAGGAAGGTAAGGTACAGAGATGTCCATCAGGGCTCCAATGATAAAATGTTGTACCTCTAAAGGTACAATTTTTGCACATTTGGGGGTCTGAGGAAAGTTCTGAGACAAAGAGTGTTTTTTCTGTTGACTTTTTTTCTGTTCTCTTCTCATAGTTTCTAATAAAATCTCTATCTAGATAATATTTTACACATATGTACTTTTATTTGAGCTAGGAAGTCTCTTGCATGGCTATTGCCATATTTGGGAAGTCTGTGGCATTAAAAATTTCTGATTTAGAGAGTCTATGGCAAGGACCTCCAACCCTGCTTGTAGAGAGCTACCACGGCTGTCTGTAATTATCAAGTAACCTTGAATACCTTGATTAATGAAGTAATAATGAATCGATCAGAGGTTGCAATTAATGCCAGATTATTATAAGATATATTTAAGTCCAGATATTACACCAACAGGAAACTATGTTTCGAGCCACAGGTGGAAAGCTGAAGTGCTAACCATACAAATTAGCGAATGTTTGTTGTAACTATAGGTTTGGTAAATGCAGACTCACTGAAGTATGCTAGCAATGACAGAACTTGTTGTTTAACAATGTATCCCTGTCAAATTCTGCACCTAAAGCATCTTTACACAGACACATCTTTAGAGCAGCTCTCTCACGATCAATCGATACACGTCTTATTTTCTGTCTGGTGCATGTGCACACAATACAATCAATGCGCATGATCCATTGTTTCCTGCAATTGTGAATGTGTTTAAATTCATTATTCCACCTCTATGCCTCTGGGCAAATGCACAGAATATCTGCAGCTTCTATGCAGTGTAAAAACAGCATTGTACAAATTGAACCAAAACGTCATACCACGAGGGACCCTCACATAGAGGGGTTGTCCCGTGCCTCTTATAGTGTAGATAATCCTCCATCTCTTCAACTTAAAAAATGTGCACGGTTTCAAGTTTGTTAAGGGAGGATTTCTCTTGGTTAAAAGCATGCTGATGCAGTAAAGCTTTAGTTCTGCTGTATGCAGAATATGGAACCACATTCTTTGCACATTACATATGCATGAAAGCAGAGGCTACGCTGTCACATCACTCATTTATTTCCGTCCTAACGACGAGCATATCCGCCTACCCATCAGAACATTAACCAGGCTAATTCTGAAAGGCTAATGGTGGCAAATTCCGTAAGGCAATAAAATTGAATTCTCACTTTCATTTCTACGACATATTCATCAGCCAACCATTTTAATGCTCTATTTCAGGGAGGGGGAATTTTATTGTTTCCCCTCTTATAATTGCTTATATTGCAGCTTGTGTTTTCACATTTTACCCTCAGGTCTGTTAATTATTGCTCAGTAGATTATGATGTTTTACATGTGTTTATTAGGAATTACAGTCATTAATATGTGTGTTCTGAATGCTTCGCATTGTTTGCATTAGCTGTATTACATGAGCTGATTAGCATTTCTTCTTCACACTCATCCTCAATGCCCAGAGTTGGCTCCGGTATCCCAGTCCGGATATCATAGAGAGAGGATGGATGAAGTCTAATAAACGGCTAGGCAGAATAATGTCTGTGCTGCTATCTTTGGACAGGATCTGTCTGTTCAAATAACGTTGGCTTTCTGTGCACACAGACTGATATGGTTTGAACAGAATGGACACATTAGTAAATCAAACTATATTGGACTTCATGACAGCTTCTGCACGTGATGCATTCTAGAGACGTCTGTGCCTTTGATGTGAATGCCATTTCTCTTTATGAAGAAGGTGCTAATGCATTTTAAATCGAAAAGTCACTCTGGGTTATGTGACATTTATCAAAGACTCTTCACTTGGCAATTTCTCTGTGAATTGTAATGCTTAATTTGGTGCTGTACTTTTACATGGGCTTCTCTGTAGATATTAGTACATGTTTTGTCTTTTTCAGGGGACATTGATATCTCTATCTTTCATCAGATCATAAAAGACAAGCACAGAATTAACCTTTAGTCTGTGCAATTAGCCATCTGATAAAGCAAAATGCCACTAAAGATTTCATCTCTTTGGAGCCTTAAATGTCTTTTGGGAATAATGAACAGCCGGGAATCATCGGTGCATATGAACTTTGCAAATGCAATGACAGTTGTGAGAGGTGTGATGCATGTGATGAATGCGAACAACAGACAAATCACTTGTCTAAATCAGTCTTCACTCAAACCACTGGCAAGATGTTACCTTGACAACCGGGTAGTGGGGGCACCTCCTCTTTCAGCGTCCCTGTGGAGATGTCGCACACTAATGCGGCGAGAAATGGGGATATTAAATGGCTCGTTCTTTGCTCTACCAATTTATCTCTCTCTTCTTTTATCGCTCTGTGCCTCGTTCTCTCTCTCACATCTGCACACACTTAGGAACAAAGTCCTTTGGCTTCTCCAGAGAGATGCAATTCAGAAACCTTATGTTGAATGATTGTTTCAGACAATATTGTTGATTTGATTTGCCACAGCTATGAGCACAATTGGCAGAACCACACATGGGCATGCAATGTTAATTTTTCCTTGACCAATATTTTCACCCGAAAGTGTTATTGTGCATGTGTTTTTTCCCTTTTTGGTTAAAGACCCTATGAAAAATAATTTATTTTTGTCGCGTATATACCCCCTCAAAAAGTGCGGCCACATTAGCAAACTTTCATGGGCAAAAAAAGATTGAAATCATTGAAAATATGTGCTTATGGAGACATTTCTGCAACACTGATATTACATGCATTTCTACACGTTTTGCAGCAGTTTCAAAGCGGTGAATGGTGCTAAAAAGTATCGGTTTTCAAATCTTTCATCATGTTAAATTTGGTTTGAGGACATAACATAATATGGTACAAGGAATTTTGTGGAAAATTAGGCTTTCTTAATGAAAACTGTTTTTTAAATCACAATATTGTGTGAAAAGGAATAAAAGTGGTTAGAGTTTTTACTGCCTTTAGTGTTCATTTCAACTGGAAACTGCAGTGATTCATACATATAAGTTTGTTTTTTAAGTTTGCAGAAACGTCAGTAGAGGCACATATTTTTCCAGTGAGCTTGGGTAGCTATTGTCAGTAGTATAAGTGGTAAATGTGACTGCACCTTAAGCATAAAATTAAAATCTTCAGGGGAAATGGACCAGAAATACTAACAATAGCTGGCAAAGGTGTCAAGGTTTGCCTGGTTAGTATGATTAGAATAGTTAGCCTTTGCACGTAGGTGCCATAACTACACCAATGGGAGCATAAAGCATTTTTCTTAATTGACAGCCATTGAAAAGTAGTCATGTATTCTAAATAAATTTGTTAGCATATCAACATATTAATCATAAATACATGATAACATAGTAAAATGTTATGCAAGTGACTTTTTTGAAGGGCTCTAAAGCATTAAAGAGACTTACTGTATCGCTTTCCATTTGCTCAAGCTATACATCATGAAACTCTAGATGGCGCCGATAGGTTCTAACTCAATCTGATATAATCACATCATTACTGACATGGCGCAGCGGATTGGTTTTTCACATTAGCAGCCAATGAGCTTGCTGCTCAACATTCAAATATTTTACAAATAATAGTGCTTGCATTAGCAGTTGCAGCGCGCTTCAGAAACCCTCCACCTTCCCCAGCTCCACCTGTATAGATCTGCTACAGGGTAATTTCGATGTCTTGCAGAATGTCTAAGGGACCGTTCACATGGAACGCATCTTTGAGTCTAAAAATGTGAGATGCTGCGCTCAGGAATGGTTTTTAAATTTATTGGTCCACTGTTTTGGAACGTTGATAGATGAGCAGCGCTGCGTGTAAAAGTTGAAATTCTTTTAAATTGACAGTCTTAAAAATGTGGCGCTCATGTGCAAGACGCTGTAAACGACGTGAGAAGCAACAGTCATACACGTCAGTCTACACTCTTAAAAATAAAGGTGCTTCACGATGCCATAGAAGAACTTTTTTGTCTAAATGGTTCCATAAAGAACCTTTAACATCTGAAGAACCTTTCTGTTTCACAACAGGTTCTTTGGGGCGAAAAAAGGTTCTTCAGATTATAAAAAGGTAAGAAAGAGATGGTTCTTTAAAGAACCTTTGACTGAATGGTTCTTTGTGGAACCAAAAATGGTTCTTCTATGGCATCGCTTGAAGAACCTTTTGAAGCACCTTTATTTTTAAGAGTGTAGCGCATGTTTACGTAGAAAAGTAGCACATTGGAATGGAAAAACAACGGCCCCAAAGATATTATTTTTCTCACTATATAAGTATATAGTAATCAGTGGCTGTGAACCTCCAAAAAGAACAACAACAAAAATAATGAACCATTAAAATCCTTACAACGTATGCACTATTTTCCAAGTATTATAAAGCTGTTCAATAGTTTAGTTTTAAGAACAAATGGAAGTTTAAGTTTTCACTGAAAATATGCAATCACAATTAACAGTCATGACAGAGGATTTGTTCCTCACATGAGTGATATGGACTACTTTTATGGTGATTTTGTAGTGCTTTATCAGTCATTTTTTTAGTTTGATTGGTCACTGTGTACATCTGTTGTATGAGAGCATCTTGGATATGTCTTGCAGAATGTCTAAGGGACCGTTCACATGGAACGCATCTTTGAGTCTAAAAATGTGAGATGCTGCGCTCAGGAATGGTTTTTAAATTTATTGGTCCACTGTTTTGGAACATTGATAGATGAGCAGCGCTGAGTGTAAAAGTTGAAATTCTTTTAAATTGTCTTAAAAATGTGGCGCTCATGTGCAAGACGCTGTAAACGACGTGAGAAGCAACAGTCATACACGTCAGTCTACACTCTTAAAAATAAAGGTGCTTCACGATGCCATAGAAGAACCTTTTTGTCCTTAAGAGCAGCCAAAATGGGCCAAGATTATTAATGAATTCAATTGAATATTCATTATTTAAATATCCGAATTCTCCTGTTGCCTGTTAAATTAAAGATAATCAGATGTCAAGTAGTGAAAGCCTCAGAGTGAATGTTTTGGTGCAGGATTCACACAGAATCGTAATACAGTGCTTTAAAGGGGTCATATGATGTTGCTAAAAAGAACATTATTTTGTGTATTTGGTGTAATGCAATGTGTTTATGCGGTTTAAGGTTAAAAAACACATTATTTTCCACATAATGTACATTATTGTTTCTCCTCTATGCCCCGTCTTTCTGAAACGCGTTGATTTTTACAAAGCTCATCGGTCTGAAAGCGAGGTGTGCTCTGATTGGCCAGCTATCCAGTGCATTGTGATTGGCCGAATATCTCAAGAGTATGACGTAAATGTTACGCCCCTTACCATACTGTGATGCCGTCTCCCGGCGCGACGAGACAAAACCAGTAAAACCCATTATAAACGAGACATTTGTTGCATCCAGTGGGGACATAATTACTGATTATAATGACTTATACTGTCTTTTTATGCGTTGCGTTGCGTATTGCGCCGTGTAAACATAAAACCTTGTCTGCATTTGTGATCGGAGAAACGACAAACAACGCTACTCTAAACTGCTCAAAACTCGCATTTGAATAGTCAGTAGCAAATTCTCTAAATATGAAAACATACTTACAGGCTGTGAGTCAGAAGCACCAGACTGTCCTTGCAAAGTTGGAATTGCCCCACTTTATAGAAACAGACACTGGCATTATAGGCTACTCTCTCAGTAAACAGTCCTCGTCCTCCATAAAATGCGCTGGACACATCTGAATATATCAAGTGTTTACTGGGATAGTGTTTACTGACTGACTTTCTGTATTATAGAGCATATGGTAGCTGTTTGTGGTATTTTGGATTATAACATCTGCTTGATGAATGACTATATAACTGGCTTGCCTCTAAACAAATAAAATGTACATACTGTCCGTTTTAAGCACTTTAATTATTTATACAGATGGCTATTTGATTGCAGAACTGTTCTAGTCCGGTTTTGTGTAACTTCCCAGGAAAGACAGCTCTTGTGTGCTTGTCTTTTTGTACACTGACATTTCCTTTCAATTGTCTACAATGGAGACAAGTATTGTTCCGGGCATAAAACTAAAGTGATTAAACTTACTTGACGATCGATCAGATTATGTAACCCATTCCATTTTTGTCCTGCATTTTGCAGTTTTATCAAGAGTGTGTCATGCTATTATCTCTCTAGGTTGCCATTGACTTCACGGCGTCCAATGGGGACCCTCGCAATAGCTGTTCCCTGCACTACATCAACCCATATCAGCCGAATGAGTATCTGAAAGCCTTGATAGCCGTGGGGGAGATCTGCCAGGATTACGACAGGTCAGTGCTGGTGTCTCTGCTGATGGAGGTGGACACTATCACGTAGGCTTGTAATTTTTCTTGGAATTTAGTGCATGTAGAATGTCTCTGAAGTTTAGCGACTATGCTGTAATGCACAAATGTAGAGTGACAGTCTTTGTAATCTTTCTTTAAATGTATTTGCTCCACCTTTGACTATCATTTTTGGGTGATTTCACATAGGCTGCACAGGCCATTGGTAATTTTAACCAATATCTAAATAGCTATTTAGGTATTGTTTTAGGCGACTGTTGTAAGTAATACAAATGTAGCCTTCTTAAAAAGCATTCCAAAATGTAATGTATTAATTGGATACTGATTAAAGGGATAGTTCACCCAAAAAATAAAAAAAAGCTGTTAATTTACTCACCCTCAGGCCATCCAAGATGTAGGTGACTTTTTTTCTTGAGTAGAACAGTAAAGAAGATTTTTAGCTGAAACCGTGGTCCTTGGTGATTCATAAAATGCAAATCAGCAGCTGCCCATTTTTGAGAATAAAAAGGCATACCAAGGAACGCAAAATGAATACCAGTTGCCCCTGATGATGTATTAAGATCTTATGAAGCGAAACGATTTGTATGTGCAAGAAACTGAACATTATTTACAACAATATTACCTGTAACCCATAGCCTCAGACAGTGAGGAATCAGATTATTTTCAGTGAACTGGCTCTTTTGGACAGTTATTTTCAATGAACTGGTTCAATTAAATATATAGTTCAGTCATGAAACTCTAGATGGCGCAGGCTGACGGGTTGTTAATGTAACTGATGATATTCAGAGAGTTAAATGAATTGGCACAAGCTGATTGGTTCATGCTGCATATTCAGCCAATGAGCTTACTTGAGATTCCTGCAGCGCGCTTTCAGAGTTTCTCTGAAACACTCCACCTTCCCCAGCTCCACCTGTATAGATCTGCTATGGGTTATTTTATATGCTATTTGTGCAGCAGCAGTATGTCTTAAATACTCACGGCACTCTATCGCCGTATGTATTGGCAGTAGCAAGTTCCTGTACTTGCTTGCAGCAGCAGCAATAATCTACAACTACAGCAATAACCAAGAGCAGCAGCAATTCAGCAGCAGCAGCAGCGTAGCAGATCTATTCCGCCAAGACCAAATACATTAACATTGTCATATCCATCACCATGCTAAAATCTTCCAAGAGTTGTCATGATTGAACTAATAAACAAAATAAACTAGTTTGAACTAGTGAACTATTTCTAATGATTTTTATTTCTAAAAATTCGAATGAACTAGTTTATTTATGTACATTAATCATGCAATGATATACACATAATTATATTATTAAAGCACCTAATAATGATGTGAAACGTGGATGTTTTACATGTCTAAAGCTCTGAACTTGTCTACATCAGCTCACCTTTTTACATAAACAATAAGAAACCATGAAACTTTGGTTTCGCCCCTTTATTCAAGCGTTTAGTTCAGGCATGCTCATATGCTCATCTGTCTTCGCCTCGGTCCGAGTTGAAACTGTTTCTTCAGTTCAGTGACTGTTGGAGGACATGGAACGATGAATGAGTTGGCATAACCAGCATCACAGGATCATATACACACACTATTATTTTGGCTCATTTCATGTCGGAGTGACTGTCAGCCCCATCCGAAATTGAGTTTTGATTGGGTAACTGGTATATCTGTGCTCCTTGAACTGCTAACTGTTTCAGACGGTTCAGTTTGATTTGGTGAACTGGTTCAATTAGCTCAACTAGTTCGCCAGAAAGAACTGGTTCAAAAGAATGATTTGCTTACGAGCCATTCGATCGCTCCTGACTGTTTACCTGAGGCTGTGAATTACAAGTAATAATGTTGTAAATAAAGTTCAGCTTCTGTAACACGGGTATCCGCTGACTCGCATTTACTGTTTACCCCAAGGACCGGTTTCAGCTTTACTGTTCTACTCGGGAAAAAAAGCCACCTTAGATGGCCTGAGGGTGAGTAAATTAACAGCAATTTTTAATTTTGGGGTGAATTATCCCTTTAATGTGAAAGGGCACATATTATGCTTTTTTGATTTGACCTTTCTTTAGTGTGTACTGGTCAGAAGTAGATTTTTTATGTTTTTAAAGTCTCTTGTGCTCACCAAAAAATACAGTAATATTGTGAAATATTTCAAATAACTGTTTTCTATTTGAATGCATTTTAAAATGTATATTCCTGAGATGCAAGACTGAATTACTCCAGTGTTCAGTGTCATATGATCCTTCAGAAATCATTTTGATATGCTAATTTGCTGCTCAGTTATTATTAATTATTATTGGTGCTTATTTATTAATAATGGTTTTTATTATCAATGCTGAAAACTGTTTTTGTTGCTTAATAATTTTTTTGGAACACGTGAAATTCATTCTTTGATGAATAGAAATTTCAATGAACAGCATTTATTTTAAATATAAATCTTTTGTAACATTACAAATGTCTTTAAACAGTAAAGCTGCAGTGACAGTAATGTCTTCAGTCCTTGCTGAAAAAAAAAAAATTTATATCTTACTTTACCCCACACTCCCCCATTTAAATAAGCATAATAGAATAGCAGTAAAAGCAAAAAGTGAACAACTAAAGGAAGTGTTTCCATTATAATACACCGAGATGCTTTGGAGGGTGGAATTGACCTTCAGCCTCCTCTTCCTGTTCAAAACACCTCTTCAAAAGTGGGTGCCAGCAGTTTTTCAGAAAGAAAGTACTCCTCCTCATTCGACTCGCATTCAGGTCTGGAACACTCACTTTTCATGACCCAGTCAGTTCCCAACAGACAAAACAAGTCCTGTCCATGGATGGGTTATGAGCCTTAGGTCCTCTGACTACCAGAGGCCTTGAACTGAGAGAATCCTAACAACAAACAAAAACATGCCACTACAGATGTAAAACTGGCATAGAAACATACAGTGCTTGAACGTGTGCCACTGACTGTTGGCACGGTATGAAATGAATGAAGTAATGAGAAAATATTTTCCTGGCGTCTTGTCAGCACTAAGAGTCTTTTGAACATCTTATTGCAGCTGTGATATTTCATACTATTGTGGTGTTGTTGTCGTCTCTTGGAATAATGAGTTTATTCTCATAACTTCAACTGTAAAAAGTGAAAGTGACATGACATAGTATGGTGACCCATACTAGGAATTAGTGCTCTGCATTTAACCCATCCAAAGTGCACACACACACCAGTGAACACACACCCGGAGCAGTGGGCAGCCATTTATGCTGCGGCGCCCGGGGAGCAGTTGGGGGTTTGGTGCCTTGCTCAAGGGCACCTCAGTCGTGGTATTGAAGGTGAGAGAGAGCACGCTGTACATTCACTCCCCCCACCTACAATCCCTGCTGGTACGAGACTCGAACCCGCAACCTTTGGGTTACGAGTCCAACTCTCTAACCATTAGGCCACGACTTATTGCTAATACTTTCTTGTATTTGCAAATGTGACAATAATGGGGTCCCATAGGGACGAATAACGACCAATAACGATCCAATAACGGGGTCTCATAGGGCTGCAGTCCATCTATTGTGAAAAAGTAGTGCACTTATTTGTATTGAATGTGCACTTGTAGCATATGTCAGTTATTAAAAATCTGTTTTTTGACAAAAAATAAAAATAAAAAATAAATAAATAAAAAGGCCACTGAAGTGTACTTAAAAAGTATACTTTCATGACTGTTTCTAAACACTTAAAAAGTTAACTTTGTAATACTGTCAAATTAAAAGTTTTACTTTAAAGTGTATTTTAAAAATCATCGTTTTTAAGTGCACTTATTTTAATGTTTTCACTAACATACTAAACCACATGTACTTAAAATCTGAACTGTAGTGTAATTCAATTACATTTACAGATAATACATTTTTAATGAACAAAATTGAAACTTCATTACAAATGTGTAATTCTAAATATTTTTTAAATTCTTGACACAAGTTTGAATAGAAATTACATTACAAATATATTTACGTATATTTAAGTATATTTTAGTTTTCTATAAATGCTTGTTCGGCAGTGCACTTGAACCTTATTTCAAAGACAATAGAATAATGAAAAAAAAAACGTAATAATAATTACATATAAAGATGTATTTAAGTCCTACTTAAGCGGGTCATATAAATGTAAGATATAATACATTTGAATTTAATTGCAGTTAACATGCAAGTAAACTTAAGTTCACACTTATTAATAATAACACACCATAATAATAAACTTAATACAAGTATACTGAAGTGTACTTCTTTTTCACAAAGTTTGTTCCCACCAAACTTTTTTTTTTCTCTTTAAATTTATCTAAAAAAAAATTGTCCCAGTATAAAATTAAAATGGCTTGTGAATACAATTTTATGTAGACTTTTGGCCTGAATGTTATACAGTATATCATTACATTTGAATGCATATATACTGTAACCCAGTTAGATTATTGTGACTAAGGTAAATGACTTAAATAACTCAGACCTTGGTACAGTACTGGAGGGATCACTTTACTAAAGCTTGCCTGGAGGCTGTTTGTTGACTTTGAGGCATTGTTGGTTAGCTTGGGTCACTATTTAATTTGTTTCTTGTACTGTGAGGTATCAGGGGTCGGTCCGATGCATCGACTAAAGCCGTGTCCTTTCTTTGGGCTGCATCCTTATAACCCATGGCTCTGCAGATCCTGCCAGCGACTGGTGCCAGAGACTCACCAGTGTCTGTAGTCTGTGGCTTATAAACCGCTGTGCTTGTGGAACCCCAGTGTGGGAGACAATAGGAAGAAATCTGGTCCAACTAATCAGCCAAATAGAATTTCCCTGTATTATTTGGCCTTTATTTATCCAAACTGAACTAAAGCATTGTGTGTGGGTAGTTAATATAGTTGCTTTGTTCTCTCTAATTGTGCAATATTGCACTTTTTGCCTTCCCTTTTGCTGCCTGATTCAGAACATTGTGCATTAGTGTGTTCAGTGCGTTTCTTTCCGGAAAGGCATTCACTGTTTGTCTTTTAAACAGCCG